AGTAATTGTGCATTTTTTTTTTTTTTTTTTGTGTCAAAGATGGTGTAACATCTTGCCCACCTGTATTTTCTATAAATCAGATGGTAAACCAAGTTGTACACGTAGCATTTCTCTTAGTGGTAATGTCCACGATGGTCTTCTCTCTTTTCTATCTTTATAATATAATTATATATACATAAATCTTTAGTTGGAAGGGGACGTTTCCTCGTTTTCAGCTGGACACACACAGTTGATAATACCATTTTTCTTACATCAAACACACACAGACTGAAAAAGTTGTTTTTAGTTAATTGCAGTAGTCCTGCCCGCATCAAATGATTTGAAAACGAGGGTTAAATCAATGAAGTTACTGTGTTTGATCGATTCTCAGGTACTTCACCCAAAATCCACACATAACATATATATTTCAAATATTTATATATATTATCAAGCACATATACATATATTTTCTTGAATTATTCTTATTCTAATTGAAAGGAAAAGAAGAGAGAAACGTGTGGATAATTGAGTGAATAAAGAAGGGTACCTTTTTCACTGCCTTTTAAACTTCATCTCAAGCTTCACTTCTGTTCTTTCCTTATCTAGTCGTAGAAATCAGTTGCAGAGTTCTTGATTTTAGTCTGACATCTCTCTCTCTCTCTCTCTCTCTCTAAAATATTTATAGATGTATGTATGGATCACTCGTGAATGGTATCCCTGTTGCTATGGCCACTGAAACTTGATAATGGTGTTTATGGTGTCGCTGTAACTAAAATTCTTCCTCCTTTGCAGATGGTGACGATGGAGAACGTGCACACTCAGATTTTCATCAAACCAGGTATCAATAATATTAACCTAACCAATCCCTTTCTTTCCTTAATAATAAATTCAGATATCAGCGTTTAAGTTTCTTTATTTTCGTCCACTTCCACGATATAGCTTCTACTGAAGAATCAATCAAGATTGTGGTTTCTTCTATGATGATATCAGATTTAACTATTTTTGAATTTTACAGGGCTAATCTGACACACTTTCAGTCAATTCTTGACAGATTTTTGAACACTAGTTTTTCAGCAAATGATTTGAACCCTATAAAACCAGCAAGTTTCATATATCCTTAACAGGTATGCTTTTTACATTTATATATCTCCCTGTTAGTGTGTGTTGGATTAATAGGATAATATTTTTTTTGAGGTTCAGATGGCAGCGTACTTTCATGGGAATTCGGAACTACAAGGAGGTGGTGATGGGTTACAAACCCTGATTCTGATGAATCCTGGCTACGTTGGATACTCTGACACCCAACCGCCGCCGCCGGGTGGCAGCAACTTCGTGTTTCTTAACTCCAATAACTCCGGGAATTCCCTAAACTTACCCCACGCGCCACCCTCTCAAACACAACACTTCGTTGGCATCCCCCTCCAAGCCACCACTTCCACCACCGTCACCTCATACCAAGACACTCACCCTCAGCAGGATCTCCCGGCCCTCAACGGCTTCCTCCCACGCGGTCAGTACAATCTTTACAACCCGTCGATGGACCTCACAGAGGCGCGTGATATTACACGCGCTCAACAAGGACTCTCTTTAAGCCTCTCTTCCCAGCATCCACCGGGGTTCGGGTCTTTTAGGCCCGAGAGTGACTCTCCATCCCGACCCCTTGTGACCACCAAACCATCGGTTCGTGGGGAAGGCATTAGGGTTTCCAGGGAATCACCTTCCTCGGCTTCTGGGGTTTCCAACGGTGTGACTGGTATGCAAAGTGTCCTTATGAGTTCTAAATATTTGAAGGCGGCACAGGAACTTCTAGAAGAAGTTGTCAATGTTGGCAAAGAAGTTAAGACTGCTACAGAATCAGGGAAGTCGACCTTCGGACAAGCCAAGATTACCGTTGGAGAATCCTCGGCCGCTGCAAATAGTATTGGAGAAACCAGTGGAAAACACAGTGCTGAACTCACTACAGCTGAAAAACAGGAAATTCAGATGAAGAAAGCAAAGCTCGTCAGCATGCTCGATGAGGTAACACTCTTTGTCTCTTGTTGAGGTATTTTTAGCTCGTCAGGGGCTTGTCCTTTGATAGTATAGGGCCATGCCAGTTCCATCTTAACCACCCCGTCCATTTTACGAATAATGCTACTAGTAAGTAACGAAGCTACATATTAGTTTAATCAGATATGATTGGATCAAAATTTCTTTAACCAAATAATAATAATAATAAATAAAAACATCTCATCTCTTTTTGACATATTATCTGTTCGTAAACCATTATGTACATACAGCACAATCACCATACTTACACCACTAGCACTATCCAATCTTCTCACACACCTATGTGAGCGTGGTCGATAAGAATTTAATTTCTTTACCCTTTTTTTAAGGATTAGGGAATTTAGCAATAAGACTGTGCACTGTCGAATCTTCTCGCACACCTATGTGAGCATGGTCGATAAGAATTTAATTACTTTACCCTTTTTTAAGGATTAATGAATTTAGCAATAAAACTAACATAGTCGAGAAAAATAAGTGGCATAGCCTAGCCTAGCCTAAATTTATTAGGACAAATGCTTAGTTTGTTTGTTCTGTGAAGGTGGAGCAGAGGTACAGACAATACCACCAGCAGATGAAGGTTGTAATATCTATGTTCGAGCAAGTAGCAGGAATCGATTCGGCAAAAACGTACACTGATCTGGCTTTACAGACAATCTCGAAGCAATTCCGGTGCCTGAAAGATGCTATATTAAGCCAAATTCGTTCAGCAAGCAAGAGCCTAGGTGAAGAAGAGAATTTGGGAGGAAAAGTTGAGGGTTCTAGACTCAAATATGTCGATAATCAGATTCGACAACAAAAAGCTCTACAGCAATTGGGAATGATCCATCACAATGCTTGGAGACCCCAGAGAGGATTGCCTGAGCGTTCTGTTTCAGTTCTTCGTGCCTGGCTCTTCGAACACTTTCTGCACCCGTAAGTTCTTTTAGAATTTCTTACAGAATCCACAATTTTATAGGTATTTCTTGATTTTTTTAATGAAATGTTTGTCGCAATTGGTGTTCAGTTATCCCAAGGATTCAGATAAGCTCATGCTTGCTAAACAGACAGGGCTTTCTAGGAGTCAGGTACCTAGTAATTCTATGAATTCTTGATCATTATTGTAGTGTTCGTCTTACCCTACAAACAATTATTGTTCAGGTATCTAATTGGTTTATAAATGCTCGAGTTCGACTCTGGAAACCGATGGTTGAGGAGATGTACACGGAAGAGATGAAAGAACACGAAAAAAATGGATCAGAGGAGAAGACTAGCAAAGGTGGAAAGAATGGAGTATCAACATCAAAATCTACAGCTGCCCCACAAGAGAATAGCCCCAGAAACGAAAATCAGAACAAGAATTTCGTTGCAAAACAGGATAACCCTATTAACCAGTCAATTTCAACTTGTTCCACATCTCCAGCTGATGAAACTTTCAGGAATAATCAGTCAGGTTTCAACTTAATCGGTACATCAGAAATCGAAAGCATTACTCGAGGACGTAGAAAGAAACCACGAAGCAGTGCTGTTCCATCAACAAACATGGATTCGAATTCGACTGACGCAAACAATGATCAAATTGCAATGAAATTCGTCAATGAGGGACAGAACAGAGATGGATTCACATTAATGGGTGCACCAACAAACTTAATGGGAGGATTCGGTTTGTATCCAATGGGGGACATCGGAAGGTTCGGTACAGAACAATTTCAGGCTCCATACTCAGGAAATGGAACAGTCTCTCTCACCTTAGGCCTCCCACACTGCGAAAACCTCTCCGGCACACATCAAACTTTCCTTCCAAACCATAGCATAAGAGGGGTCGAAATCAAACAAACAAATACTCCAACGTCTGTTCACTCCACTAGCATGTTCGGAAACATCAACATTCAGGACCGCAAGAGGTTAGCAGAACAATTGTTGCCAGACTTCGTAACCTGATGAGTTACCGTTCGTCTGGAAATATACGGAACCCGATTTTTCCACTTTGACCGTAAGGGGATGATAGCATGCTGATAGTGTAGAGATGGAAAGAAATTACATAGTATAGAAATCTACAGTTGAGTTGGGAGGGAGGGGCATTTGATTTCTTAGAGACAGCTTAGGTCTATTAAACATATTATTGAGGATTGTAGATTATTTTTGTTGCTGCAGATAAATAGATGATTGCTATATATATTGGGGTGGTATAGAAGAATAAATCGGTGTTAATATCAGATATTGAATATTGACTGTGTCTGAGATTATGGGATTTATGTATAAATGTTCAAAATTTTCTCTTCTTTTTTTTTTTTTTTTTTTTTTTTTTTTTTTTTTAATTTATAGCAAAAGATTGTCACTACCATCACAAGGTAAATATATCGACTAACAAGCCCACGAGAAGATAAAAAGACATTCATACAAATATTTTTTTCCTTTATTTTCATATGTAGCACTTTTATGGAAGATAACTGCAAAAATTTTTCTAGTAAATTCAAATTGGTGACCGCATAGACCTTGACCTCAAATGACAAGTTGAAGCTGCTTCGATGGATTATAAAATTTCAACCCAAAGACCCCCAAATATCTCATTTAGAAAAGAATCACAAAGACTCACTCAGAAATGCTCTCAAACGCTCAAGAAACCGTCCAATTAGAGGTTTTTAACAAAGGATAAGACGAACAGAAGACAGAGAGAAAACCCTAGACTCACTCAAAAATCAAACAAATTGGAATGAATGAAAACCACACATATTTGATTGTTGATCTCAATCTGAGATCAATGGTCTAGGGCAGCTAGCACTTTATCAATTCGATTTCACAACCGAAGTTACAAATCAGAAACACAATTTCAAGCCATTTATAATGGATTCGGGTCATGGGCCACTCATGATTTTTGTAAGGAAATATCTCACTCATCAAATTGGACCCCGATAGCCCCATTTATCATCGCTGCCTAGGGGGAACCATCTGGCATCATAGCCCAACACAATCAATCTAAATATGAAGGACAGAGAGAACTTTATTTCGTCGTGTGGACGATGCCAACCATTAAAAATTGCAGCTAACCCAAAAATTAACAAGAATGTTTACTATTTACAAAAGAATTAATCTATTTGTACAATGAATTTGCACAATAAATTTGACAACGTGTAAAGTGTAAAGATCCTGACCACTAACTTCAATTATAATTTTTATGATGTCTGCCAACTCATATGTTGTCAAATTCATTGTACAAGTAACATAATTGTTTACAAAATTGCATGCTGGTGAGACTTTTTCCATACGTCGTCAATCTTGTAAATAAACATGGACCAAAAATATGTGTAACATATTTGATACGTTGAAATGAATAATATTGACAATGCTTGTGGATAGCATCAGTTCGTGTATGAGTTCGCATTATTAGAACGCATAAAATGCACCAACGGTGTTGGGGAAATTCGGCGATCCATCGGCCCGTCAACCAATCCAATATTAAGAAAATTGACACAATTGCTTCTACAAGGGCACAGTAACAATAGGTAGCACTCTTTTTTTTTTTTTTTTTTTANCTGATTTTGAGTATCAAATGATTATGATAAAATTGTCATTTTAGCCATGAAACCAAATTTTAATGTGAATATAATTTTTTTTTATAATCTCTTAATTAAAATCAATTACTAAATTAATTTGTATTTACCTATCAAATTAATACTTTTTTTTTTTTAAAGGATGCATGCAAGATTTCATTGAGCTCTATCACAAACAAATAGAAATAAACAATCGATCTAGTAATAACAAAGTAAGCTAAACCGATTGATTGCTTTATTCCACCAAAGCCAACATCAAATAAAAGAGCAAGGCATCTAGTAAGATGCCAGCATTGGCTGCTGATTTTGATATAGAATTTAGAACGATTGCCCTTAGTTTATGAAACCTTCCTCAGCCGCACATCAGACCAATGTTCAACTTCAACCGCCCCCCAGGGCACATCCGAGTTGGTGGAACAATTACTGATTTTGAGTATCAAATGATTATGATAAAATTGTCATTTTAGCCATGAAACCAAATTTTAATGTGAATATAATTTTTTTTTTATAATCTCTTAATTAAAATCAATTACTAAATTAATTTGTATTTACCTATCAAATTAGTACTTTTTTTTTTTTTTTTAAAGGATGCATGCAAGATTTCATTGAGCTCTATCACAAACAAATTGAAATAAACAATCGATCTAGTAATAACAAAGTAAGCTAAACCGATTGATTGCTTTATTCCACCAAAGCCAACATCAAATAAAAGAGCAAAGCATCTTGTAAGATGCCAGCATTGGCTGCCGATTTTGATATAGAATTTAGAACGATTGCCCTTAGTTTATGAAACCTTCCTCAGCCGCACATCAGACCAATGTTCAACTTCAACCAACCCTCACTTGGTTCGGTCTACTTGCACGGGCCTACGGAGCCCCCGTCTTGCATTGTATGGTCAAGTAAAAGCATAAAAGTAAAATCCGAAAATTTACACAACACGTTTGACTTTATAAATTTTCCAAGATAAAAAAGAAAAACATATCAGACTGAATAAAAACTAGTGAATTCTTCTAGTTGTTTGATTTCATTCTTGCAAACAAAATTGTTTCACGTGAATATAATTTTAATCAATATAAAGTTCAATTCTATACTGTTTTTTTTTTTTTTTTAAATAAAAATTGTATCGAAGTGATTCATATCGACATGTCCACCCTTTTTGTTCGGTCAGCACTTACGTATAATGATTGGTTACGACTTACGTACGATACATGCATCTCGTTAAACAGTTTTACGACTTTCTGTATATTAATCATGGCCACGGGGACAAACTAAAGAGATGATAGCCACAGGCTGATTCCACCATGTGACCGTTGACTTAATCATTTATCTGGAGAAATTATTGGCCCACATGCTCAATAATGATTTAAACTTTAATTTTGCTTTCATTTCTCTTTATTTTGTGTGTCTTCTCTTCTCTTTGCTTTTCAATAGAAGCAATTTTTTAGTCGAGTATGATGTGGAAATACTTATAATTTGAACATAATTAAATTTTGAATTTTATTAATATTAACTATTACGTTTGATGCAACTGCCCGGTTATATATTTACCTTTAAGGTGTGTTTGATTTACTCAAGTTCTTGCTTTTGAGTTGATTGACTGACTTTTTTTATAAAAGTAATTTTCAAAAGATTCACGTAACCTCATTTTCCTTGAAAACAAGAAAAATATTTTTTAAGGAAAGAATGAGTTCTTATTTTTCAGATAATTCACTCCCCCCTATCTCATCTACCCACCAATAAAAGATGGACAAGTAAGCCTTGGCGTCGGGTGAATCATTTCGAGTATTTCAATACTCGAAACTATCCATTATGCTTCAGGCTTTCATAAATGAAATCACTAGGGTCCATGTATTTACTGGAACTAAACTCAAACTCAAACTCAATTGAGTTCAATTCTACCTATAACATTTTTTATATACATTTTATAAAAAAAAAAAAAAAAAAAATTTGTTTAGGTACTTTCAGTACTTATACCTAACATGCTACTGCTTGACAATATTTGTGCAATTGAAAAAATTCTGCTAATAAAGCTTCCAAAAGAAAAATACTAGTGAGAAAAATAATGCATCAAAAATTAAATTATAATTTGAGAATAGATTATTTTTCTTAATAAATCTTATTCAATCCGTATACGAGGCATGTTGGAGACTATAATTTAATTATGAACTATACTTAAGTTTTCTTACTTTTAAAATGAACTGATATAAAAAATACTAATTAGATACATAACTATATAGTATCAAAAAATTATTGTCCACATACTAAACTCAATCTATTTGAATAGCAAATGAAAAATTATATCTCAAAAGAAAATCACAAACTTAAGACTATCTTATGGGAGAATGTATGATTGAAAATAAGTGTTGGGAAAATGAGTTTTTGAAAAAAGAAGCCCAAATAGGTTATTGGACAGGTAAATCAAAGAATGAACACTTTAATTCATCAAATTACACCACAACTTAGCTTGAACTTTTTGTTTCATAAAAAGTCCAAATTACAAAGATTAATATGCACTAAACTTTGAAATACAACAATCGGATGTAACGTAAGAGGTAAAAGTAGGAGCTAGTCTAGATTTCTTAGGGTTAGATTCTAGAGCTTTAGACTAATTATTACATAAATTAGGATTTTTAGATTTTGTATTTTTTTTTATCTAGCCTATAAATTATAAATAAAAAATTATATAAAAAAATTAGTTCCATTAGGATATCCACGATTCTAGTTTAGGAACTAAGAACAAACAAAATTCAGTTGATTATCGATTCTCGATTTTAGTTCGTAATTAATTTTTTTTTGAGAATCGAACTAGAACAGCCAGTTTCGTTGCGATTTGGATAAGAAAGATTTGGTTCCAATTAAAAAGCGCAAGTCTATGAATAAGTATAACATTTTCTTAATTGAAAATTAAACTAATCAAATACATTTAATTAATAATTACTATACAAATAAATTCTAAACAATTCAATTGTTTAAAACTTATTTTTTTCATTCAAATTCTACGCTTACAATCAACCATACCCATACTTCTACTTTTGTAGGAAAAAAATTCCTCAAGAAGTAACATTAGCTCAATTTTCTCTAAATGTTTTCGAGTCAAATAAAATAATTTCATAAAATTATCCTAATATTTTCAAAAGTATATTTTAGTCTCAGAAACAATTTTTACTTTTCAATTTTTTTTACCAAATGGGCCCTTAATCAAATTGCATTCTCCCAATTCCCCAGAGTAGGGGCTAGGTAATTAAGTTTCTATTTAGTGGGGATTAAAATCAAATTTTTAGTGGATTTTGATAAAAACATGAATAAATTTGTTGTTAGAAAGTTATAAATCTCATAGAATATGTGATTAATATTAATTATTGACATTAGTTTAAATTAAAATTAAAATTTTAATTCATGTTCAATAGGGGCTAATTTAAAAATGTTTTACGTTGACTTTTATTGACCTAAACAAATTGAATTATATAAATCAAAAAGGAAAGTAGGCGGGAGATAATGAAATTAAATCCATGGTCAATATTGCAAGGGAGACAAAGTAAAGAGATGCATGGAGCAGCCAATGTTGAAAATAATTCACATTATCATGCACGTGGTACAACTTCCATCTTATTACTTCTATTAAGCACGAGTTTTCTTTTCTCTCACGTGTTATAATTACACATCTTAAGCTGACTCAAAGCAATTTTATAGATGCTAAAATTTTGAAACATAATTCTTAC